ATATCTTTCTCTTCTTTTTTCTATTATTTATTTTTCTTTAACTCACAATTACCTTTACATCATTAATGTTTGATTAATTTATTGAAGTAAAATGTATTCATTGTTGAATTGATACAACTATTTGTTAAAAGAATAATGTTTTCTTTTTTCTTTGAACTGAACATGTATTATTGAATTGAAGTAAAAATGTTAGTAATTGATGAATTGGTTTAAATTGTTCTTAAACTTAAATATCGTTGAATAAATAAAACGACTATTTTAAAATTCACAAACGTATTTATTTAATAAAAATATTATAAATATGATTGTTTCATGAATAATATGTATGAAAAGAATGAAATATACCAAAAAGAAGAAATATAGAAAAGAAGAAAATATACAAATCAAACATATCAAAATATGTTGTAATATTTTATTGATATTAATTCAAAAACAAAAATTAAAAAAAACAAAAACCCCATCTTAAAAAATAAAATAAAAATAAAAAAAAAAAGAAATGGAAAGTGAAGAACATCAAAAAGGAAAAGAAAAGTTTAAAGAAGGGAAATATGAGGAAGCAATAGAACTATTTAAGAAATGTCATAAAAAAGAGCAAAAAGCACCGTTTTATTCCAATATATCAGCATGTTATTTTAAATTAAAAGATATACCAAAAGCAATAAAATATGCAAGAAAAAGTATTGAAGAAACACCTGAATTTGAAAAAGGGTATTACAGATTAATGATTGCAGGAGAAAATACCTCAGAATATAGTAGTAGTGTAATGATAGCAGAAATTAAACTAGGAAGAGAAAGAAAAGACGAAAAATATTGGAGAGAATATTATTCAGGAAATGAAGAAGTAGAAGTTAAACGAATTAATTTAGAATATGGGAAGGGAGTATTTAGTAAAAAAAAGTATCAAAAAGAGGAAATAATAATGAGAGAAATACCAATAATACAAATTAGTAAAATAGAAGATTATTATAACTGTTGTGGGTTTTGTTTAAAATCACTTTATAGTAAAGACCCTACTAATAAATATAATAAGATATTTAATCAAATAAATAAAGACGAAGTTGTTAAATGTAAATGTGGCATGAGTTATTGTAATACCAAATGTCAAAAATTAGATTATGGTCATTCTCTTTTATGTAACAAGATAAAAGGGTTATTTAATTATTGTAAAAAAAATAATGTTTCTCATCCTTTATGTATTTCTAAAATTTTTGCTAATATTTTCATTTCACAAAATATTGAACAATCATTATTTCCTTTTATTGTATTTCATTCTTCTCCTTTAATTCCTTTTAACTCTGAAATTATTCCATTCTTTCTTGATATTTTTGGTTCTCTTCTTCTAAAATTTAATATTTATGGTGGTTGGACTTTTATTTATCAAATTCTTTATTCTGTACTTAAATATAATTCTTCTTCTATTCTTCCTCTTAACCCTATTCAGTCTATCTTACTTAATAATTCTTTACAGATTGATAATACTCTTCTTTCTTCTTCTCTTATTAACCATCCTGATATTACTGCTTTTACTATTGAAGCTGAAGGATTATTTAAATATTTAAATACTCTTAATCATTCTTGTTCTCCAAATTGTTTTTTAGCAAATACTGATGATTCTTGTGCTTTATCTTTAATTGCTTCTCGTCCAATATCTCCTGGAGATGAACTTACTATTAGTTATATTGATAATACTCTTCCCTATTCTCAACGTCAATCTCTTTTATATGATTCATATCATTTTTATTGCCATTGTCCTAAATGCAACCTTATGATTTAATTCGTTTTGACTTCAATCTTCATCACTTCTTTTATTTTAAATTAGTCTTTTTTGATGCTGTTCTTTTTGAAATGAATTTAAATAACTATAATGAAGGTTTTTTTATTCATGGAGAAAATTCAATTAATGTTATTGTTTTACGTTTTTATTATTTTGATAAACTATGTTATTTATCAACTTGAAATAATTATCTCTATAATTATATATTGTTCATCTTTTTAATTCTATCACATTGAAAATAATTAACATTCCAATTATAAAATATATATGTCTTTGGATACTGTTTATCACTTCACATAATTAAAAAGAGGGATTAATTTGTATATTTATTCCGAATAAACTCGTATCATTATATCTGGTTTTTATATTAATATTCCTTTATAATGAGTTTTATTTTTTATGGTTTTGTTCTTGTCTGTTTCATGATTTGTTTTTTATGCTTGTAAATGTTAAAAACTCACTCTAACTGCATCAACCACATTAACCACATTATTAGTAAGTCTTTTTATTCCAATATTATTAAACATTATTCTTTCAAATTTGTTCTGTTTCTTCTTATTCTTTTCTAACACTCTGTTCATTTTCTGAGAATATTACTTACTTACATTCAAACATTTTTTGTACTTTCAATTAATTCATTAATGACATTTCCTTTTAATACACTATTTACACTTCAGACAACTTAAGGAACATCTTTTTCTTTTCAAATTAAGGAATTACCAATTTGTCGCTTGATACATATAATAAAAATAGTCACACAGAAGAACAATAAGTCAAAACAACAAATAAAGAAAAATTGTCATTGAATAAACAATGTGAATAACAGGAATTTCATAAGATGAAATGAACAAGAGAAAGTTGATTTTGATTGATAATATAATGAAAGAAAAATCAAAGAAATTGAGATAAATGAGTATTTGAATTTAATATGATGAATAAAGAGTGTCAAATACAAAAAAATCAACACATCAATAAAGTATTTAACACTACACCAAATAAAATGAGATAAAGAAGAAATTCAGACGCATATGGATAAGAGAATGAAAGAGTGAAAAGGATATGAATGAATAATTAAATCAATGTTGATATAAGAAACAAACATCATACAATGTTGAATTTAGTTGAAACAAAATAACAACAATAGACAATGGTAGAGATACTACTTGGATCACATTTGTTTCATTATAAATAAACAACAGAACGAAATAAGAAATAGAAATACTCAAAAGGAATGAACAAGAGAAAAGAGAAGATAAAGAGAATAAACAAAAACAATAAACACAATGAACATACAACAATAAATTTAATTGTTAATTGAAACAAATGATTTAGAAAAGACATATGATTCAATAAATACTATTTATTCAAAAAAATGTAATTGTTATATTAATAAAGAAATTTAATAACTGTTTGTTAATTAAGTTTAGACAAAAAAGTAATGAAATAAATCAACAAAGAGAATCTAAATAATATACCAGAATAATAAAACAATGAAATTAATTGATATTTTGAATTAATAGATGAAATATCAAAGAAATACAAAATGAGATTAAATAATATACAAATGTTATACTAAGAGTAAATAATTAAACAATCTAAATTTAAATTTGATAGTAAATATAAGTACATTTAATAAATAATAAGAACAACAAGAAATGATGATTGAGTCAATAATTGCTGCTTCAAACATTAAAACGATTATATTTTATGAATTATATTAGTATTGAAAAATTTTTATATTAAAGATTTGTTTCATTGATTTGAATAACATAATCAAAATATTAATAATAAATGAGAGTATTTCATAAGAGTCTGTATTAGTATTATAATAAATAGTATTTTATTCATCATTACAACTATGTACTAACTACTAGTAATTCTTTGCAGTAATTTGATTATCTTTTTGATATTATTTCAATGTTTACTTGTGATTCTTTCATTTTTTATTCTTATCAAGAATGTTTGAAATAAAACATTCACCAAATTATTCACAACAACTTTATGTTTCATTTTCTTTCTTTCAAACTATTCTCCTCTTTTCAATTTAGATGATTTAACTTCTTATTTTTCACTTCTTCTTTTATCTATGGTTTTATTTCTTTATATTTTCCTGTTTTTTATATCTATTCATTTCTCAACAAACAATAAAACATTCTTCTTTATTTATATTTTGCGTTTTAACTAATATTCTACTCATGAATGTATTCAATTATTATGTTTATTTGTTTTATTTGTTTTATTTGTTTTTATTTGAGTAAAATATTTGTTTTAATATTCTTATTTATTTTATAATGTTTCTTCGAAAATGAAATGTTAAATACAACAAGAACAACTTAAATATTTGTTATTCTCATGTTTCAATTCTTCATAAAATATCATCTTCAACTATACCATTCTTTTGTTGATGTGTTTATAACTTCATTCTATTCAAAATATTCTGACTCATTTCATTTATTTTCTTTTCTATTACATTTATGATGTGAATATGCAAGAGAATTGTAATAACAATGAATAAATTTAATTTATTACAAACTCAATAATAATGTATTAATCAATATCAATGAATGTTCTTTTGTTTCAATGCTTTTCTTCTAAAACATTAAAATGAATGAATCTGTAATGTTTTTAATATCAGTACTATTGAAAATTCGTTTTATATATAATTTATTTAATATTTTATTGCATATGATGTTTATGATATTTTGGTATGAATATTTATATCATTGTGTCTAATTCAAAGAAATAAGAAAAATGATGATACATCGTTATAACCAACATTTAAACAATTTCATTTGATTTTATGAAAATGTAAATACATGTTAATTAAAAATGAAGGGATAATGTTGATACAAATCAAACACACACAGAACTCTTGATATTAAATTTATTTTTACTGAATATAATTTCAAAAACAATTTAATGTGGTTAAACAATTATCTCATCATTCTCATTTTTAAATGTTATTATTCTTTTAAAGTTCCATCTATGAATGAATCATTGCTTCTTATCACATTGTTTATTTTGTATTATTGATATCATTTGATAAATATAATGATATTATTTGATATGAAACTAGACGGAATTGAAATAGTCATTTATGGTAACAAAAATGTGTTTTGATGAATGAAAAAAAATACAGAGTATAATGATTATAATCAGACTCGCTTCTAAATAATTATTATAGAAACTGTCACTTTTGAATTCAAAGCGAATGAAAAAGTTATATTATTGTTATTTCAAGTTACTTTTCCTGTTAGTAGATTAGATAATCTCATTTTTATCATTAACCATTATAATCCATTAACTATTCTCAACAACATCAACACATTTTAATATATTCATCACAATAACACGGCAATACAGGAATGATGAATGAAAAAATGTTTGTCTTGAAAATGAAATTAAAGTAGGAATTGCTTCAATTATTAAAACAATAAGTTATTCCTAATTTATTCTTTTGAATGTATTTCAATTAAATGGAATTTTTGAATAAATTTAGTTACTTTTTCAATATTATCTTTTCTTATTTCACATGTATCATTTATTCTAATAATTCCTGCCATTTATTCGTATTCTCATTTCTTTGATTCGAGTTTTTGATTGATATTGAATATCACTTTGTTTTAAATTCTTATGAATTCAAACACATAGATTCATAATTGGATAATATACTTAATAATTAGATTAAATAGAACAAAAATTATCATTCAATTGATAACTGTTGCTAGTGAAAAGTAATATTATTATAATATGAATATAATAAGAAATTCTTTTGTATTATTTGTTATTGATTCATATTCATGATGATAAAATCAAATGATAAATATAACAATGAACAATGGATATTATTAGTATATATTTGTAGAATTTTTCATAATATTCATTTCAAATTTAATGTTATAATTGTTCATTAATCTTTCGACTGATTCAGATTATCACTGTTTTGTTGAATTGTGTTAATTTGATATTAAAATTGTTTTATTCATTCATTATCACGTATTGTTGTATTTATTTCAATTCCTCTGTTTAATGTTCATAACTATTATTTGTAAAACTTCAAATATTAATAAATAAAACGACAAAAATGTGAAATAACTGTAATTGATGAAAAATATTAATTAAAACAACGAATAAAGGCAAATAAAGAATAAATTTCAAGTTATGAGAATTGAGAAATGAATTTGATTGAAAGAAATACAATTAAGAACAATAAAGTGTCAGAATATGAATTAGTTATTATAATAAATTATATATAAAAGAGTGGTATAGAAGAATAAGAATATAAAATGTTTTAAAGAGATATTTTAAGGATGTGCATATAAGAATAAACAAAAGTGATAAAAGATAACCAAGAAGATAAATACAAAAAGAAATAATATTCTTAAAATAATGAGTAATAAATAAAGAAGATAATAATAAATGATAAGAAAATTAAGATGATAATAAATATTTATCAAGTGTTATTAATCTTTATGTTTTGTTGTTTGTTCTTGTTATTCCTTTTCTTTTATTCATTATTA